TGTGTGTGTGTGTGTGTGTGTGTGTGTGTGTGTGTGTGTGTGTGTCGTCATGGAGACTAGATGAGGACCCCTGGTCCCCTGGGGCTGGAGTTACAAGTGTTTGGTTGTTAACCGTCTGGAAGGGTGCTGGGAACCAAACACTGGTCCCCTGAAAGAGCAGCCGGTGCTCCTGACTGCTGAGCCATCTCTCCAGCCCTCATGGTTCACATTTTGTTATGAACTGGCCAGACTGTCTCTAAGAACTGCTTGTTAGCAGAGCTGATGCTGGGATGGAGAAGCTTGGACTGTTCATCTGAGCAGCAGGAAAGGCAGGGTCTGTGTGCACCCCAGGATGTGTTAGTCTGATCTCCTACTGTCCGGAAAACCACTGCTTAGTTCCTCAGAGTCCACCTCTTGGAGAGTCTGCTACCAACAGTTTTCCTAGCTGGGCCATGGGCCTAGCAGTGCTGCTGTGTATTATGTGAGCGATACATGCTGAAAGCCCAAAGAGGCCTAAAGGAACATGATGTGAGCACGGCTGCTGGGGAGGTGGTCTCAGGCCCTGACACTCACTTATTGAGATTGTCCAGAGCTGCTGCCAGGTGCCTGGAATCAAATCGACAGGAAGAGTTGAGCTCATTGGCGATCTGCTGTCTCAGGATCTGCATCTGCCCAACCTGAGGACAAGCGACAGAACACAGAGGTGACACACAGGGCACTTAAGAGCCTTCGGCAGCAAGCACACAGAGCTGGAGAGCCTTCGAGGGGTGAGCCTTTACAGTCACCAGTTTGCTACACGGTCTCTGAGGCAGCTATGGCAATGCCTCCTCCAAATGCCTAGGGCTGTTCGCTCTCTCCCACCAGAGAGAGAGAGCCACACTTCGGCTTCATATTTGTAATAAACCTTTCTTAGCACCCATGGGACAGTCCAAGTCAGCGGTTTCACTGTGCCCTTGCTTACACAAAGTAGGTGCCTGGATTCTAAAATAAGCTAACTTCTATCTAAACCATTAACGGCTTCATTTGTCTTTAGTCCTCATTTCCAAAGACATGGTGTTTTATTCATAGCATGTGGATAATTTATACAGGATCCCTGCTTCTTGACATCGAGGCAGACACGGGAGGGAAAGGAACATTGCCCTGTTGTGATGCCGTGAGGGTTACAGATTCCAGACCCTTGACCTGTGTGCCCCCAGGGCAGAGCGTTGCACACCCGTGGAGGAAAATGACCGTTCCCTTGGGCAGAGGCACCCCTGATCGGAGGCGCTTCATAAAGAACATTTTCTTGAGCAAGTGGGGAGCCGTGGGTTCATGAGAAGCCTGGTCAGTGGTAGCCCCAGAGAGAGGGATAAAGGAATGAAAGGCGTGAGAAATGACAGAAAGTTGTGGCAGAAGATGTCGTAATGACAAAAGTTCTGAATACATCTGCATAAGCACAAAGTCGGAGGAAAATACTAATTTACAAAGCACAGCGGTGACAATCCCTGCCCCATAACACACTTTTCTTTACACCGTGTCGATGACTCTGCTTCCCGAAGCTTACCTTCATTATGGCATCCAGGTAAGCGGTCCAAATCTTCTGTGTCTTGGTGATGGCGGAAAGATAAGCTTTACTTGAATTTGCTGGAAGTTAAAATACAATCTTAATCCAGTAAATCTGGGCAGATCATAGTACAGCATTATCTCTACCTTGGGCAGTCTCAGGACACTTACCAACAATGCTTTTTAGGGGGCTGACAGCATTCATGAGTGTTTTTAAAGTATCTTGAACGGTTCTATCTCTCAGGATAATTTTCTGAAACATACTGAGGAAATTCTACAAACAAGAAGCCATGATCAAAACCCAAACGTAACAACCCAGAGCTCAATCCAGTTAACTCAGATGCCGAGCAGAATATGATCCACCTGGGCCACCAGCCTCTAAATGGGAAGGTGTCAGGCACCCAGGCTCCTCCTAGGAGCAGTGGCTGGAAGGGGGAGATAAGGCTTCCAACACAAGTCTCTCTTTCCCAAATTAAAATTTAACTAAAGCGGTCTACCCACACAAGTACAAAGAAATTCTAGTTTACTATTGGTTCTTGTCTACCTAGTAAAGTCACCATGCCTCACGCCTGGATGACATGAAGGACACCGAGTTTAATTTGTCAGGTGAGACCTGTCGTTATGCTTCCCAAGCAGGCCTACAATAGGCGGGCTTTGTCTTCTTGGCAGGCAGAGCCACCAAAGTGTGTCTGGACGGTAACGGAGAAGCTTAATGGCAAAGGGAAGACCCACGCTGAACAGGATGACATCATCCCATAAGCCGGGGTCCAAGACTGAAATAAGAGCAGAAAGTGGGCCGAGCACAGACATCCATCTCTCTGTGCTTCCTGATACGGGAGCAGTGTGACCACAGTGGAAGCCATTCTGGGAGCCAGGCCCTCCCCTCCATGACGGACCAGACTCTCAAACTGTGAGCCAAAAATACCGCCTTTCGTCCTTAGGTTGCTGGTCAGGTGTCTTACCACAGCAGTGAGAGAAATGCCCGGCATGGGCTCCCAGGCTCACCTGCAACTCCTTCACAATCATGAAGCATAGAAGCCTGTCCAATCCATTCAGACCAAAGGTCCCCAAGGTGTTCTGGATTTCTGAGAAGAGTCGGCTGCTGGTCACTTCTTGGTGAGTTTTCATGTCATACCACGTGTTCAGCTGGTCTATGTAACACGTCATTCTAGAACAAAAGCACAACCCAAAGTCCCAGCGGATCAAAGGTGTGGGACAGCCTGCACGTGCGCCAGCCCGGCCTCTACTTCCTGAGTGCTGGGCTTGCAGGCTGAGCAGACACTACTGGTTATGACTCGTGTTTCGTGTTTCCTCACTTCTGCCCCGGGACTCAACCTTGTCTGCCTGATGACTGCCTGACGTCACAGGACGTCAAGCTCAGCTAGGCCTCCTTCCCACACTGATGCTGCTTCCTCGGTTTAATTTATTTCCTCTTGTCTGAGCTACCACTGGCCAGAAGAAAAGTTCAGTTCGGTTGCTGCCAGGTTGGAGGACGCTAGAGCCCAGCTTCCTTTGTACAGGATGTTTCTTGAAATTTCCAGAGCCTGAGGACAGATGACAGCCTGGTGTCAATCCCACTGGTGAAGAAGAAACTTAGGACCTTTGAACGGTGATGTCCGTGGGGGAAGATGAGGCTACGCGCTTTCTTTCCAGCTCATTAAACGGCAGATGGCCATCTTCTCAGTGACGCTTCTTAGTCTTGGGATAGAGTAGGATGACAAGAGGGGCAAAAACCAACACCATCTACTGAGCACTCGTGTTATCCCATGTCACCCTCAAACAGCTCTGTGAAATACAAGCCATTCAACAACCCCCAATGTACAGGGGTTGTATAACTTCAAAGCTTTGGTTCTCAAGCCATGGAGGAGGGGTCTTGGGTGACTGGGTAGAGCCTGAAGATGGCACAGATGTCCACATTCCACTCCCAGACAATCTGATCCAGCAGGTAAGGGGTGTAGCCCCTGCCCCTGCAGTTCTGACAAACTCTACACATGTAGGCCTCATGTCATAAACACCATCTACCATCCACACATGTGGGCCTCATGTTATATGTTATAAACACCACCATCCACACATGGGGCTTAAGAAGGAGCTGAGAAGCCTCAGGAGTGAGGGAGTTGACTTAGAAGTAAATGTGTGTGTGGGGGAACTCAGGAAGGTTTGCAAAAGTGCATACATCTTTTACACTCAGGCTTCAGGGTGTCCCTTTATTACCCAGTGCTGGCAATTTGGATGTGACATCTGCCAGGGCCCTACTTCTGATAATGAATTCCCAGTCATATCTAATGTCCACTGAAAGTGTGAGCAGGGTGCTAGGCGGGGTAGTTTCTGGAAGGGCTGGGTGATTCAAGCCACTCACACAAAGGACTATTTACTCTCTTGCCTGTGACATGTCAGGAAAAAAAAA